TTCTTTCTTTCTTTCTTTCTTTCTTTCTTTCTTTTGTTTTCTTTTCTTTCTTTCTCTTGACCTCAACTGCCTTCCCTGGCTACAGCATATTCAATATATTTCCTTGTAGCCCTGGCCCCTGTTAACTATGACCTCTCTCACTTAGGTGAGAGAAGACTAGTGGGACCTGGAATGGGAGCACTGTCCTTACCCCAAATGGAAATTGCTCTCGCAGTCTTTACTCCTGTAGTATATGTTTTTGTAGGGAAATGGTTCTGGGTATATTTCACAAGGGTTATCTTTCAGGTCATAGGACACCTCCTCTTTCTCTGCTCCATGCTAACTGATATGATTTGATGTGGGGTTCTGGAGCACATAGTCAAGAAAGAATTCTTCAGACATTATCAGTGCAAAAAAGGTGGTTTTCTTAAAGCACAGGGACAGGACCTTTGGGCAGATAGAGCTGTCCCAGGATTGTGTGAAGTGATTCGCTTATACTTTTAAGTTGAGGAGGTAGAGATAGCGGAAGTTTACAAAGTTGTTTTCATAGGTTAAGGAAGATTTATAGGATCCTGGAAGCCTAGCTTATGTCAAGCTAAGATTGTTGTTGCTGGTTTTTTGTTTTCTTTTTCTCTTGCAAGGTATTAATGCTAAGACAATTGGGAGTTCCTGGACGAATGTCATACTCTTTCTGTCTTGAGTATTTGTCAATGGGCTGTAAGCTGTAAGGAAATTTAACTTAATCTACATTTCTTTTGCCTTTTTTTCTCCATATCACTAACAACTGAAGATCAGAGAAATACAAGTTCACTGAGTGCATATGGGACACACCCAGGATGTAATCCATGGGGTCACTGCCAAGGGGACAGGGATTAGGTTCACTGCAGACCTGGACAGTTCAGACTTGGGGTCTCTGGGCAGGTGTGAATACAAAGAGACATGGTAGGTAGGTCTCCTGTTCAGTTACCTGTTTGGGGGATTTGGTACAGACATGGCCTCTGGTGACAGGGGAGCACCATGTTGGGTGGCAGGTCTTGGCGCTAGTTATGCCTGGACCACAATCCCTTGGAATGCACAAGTGGCTGTCATCCAATAACATGTTAATAAGACATTTTAAACACGCTTGACCAAGTTAGGACACAGTAAGGGGAGACTGGTGTTGGAGGACTTGAGAGAAAGAGATGAGGGGATAAAGGCAAAGGGTAAGATATGAGGCCCAGAAGGTGGGCACAGCAAAGGGCTGGAATCAGGAGAGAAAAGGAGAGTGGGAAGACATTCTGGAGTGTCCAGTGTATAAAAAGACACAAACCCAATGGAGTAATCTGACCCCATCAAGACAGCAAACGAAGATACAAAGTGAACCAAAGTGGCTAAGTAATGGGATATGAATAAGTTCCTTAATGTATATGCAAGCTCCCTGTCTCCATCCCCTAAAACACTTAATAATTGCTTCCTGTACTAACTCCACTGGGAGTCAGTGTTTTGAGAGCTATCTCCCTGGTTCCTTACTACTAGTTAACAAGTAAATAAAAGTTCTTCAAGATTTCCTTGGGTTGTGTTGAATTTAATGCACCCCAAGCAGTGTACCCTTACACTTTGACAAGCACACTTGTATACAATCAAACTGTCCAGGGGGATCTTTTGTGAAATACAGGCAAGCCTCTAACCATGGGGTGCAGTCTTACAGGCCTCACCATCCACAACTAGGGAGATGCAAGACTTATTCCCTCCCAACTACGTGAAGAGAAACATTGACACTGATTCAAATTGGCAGCATCAAATGAGATGTTAGTCATTCTTCTGTATCTGGTTTCCAAACCCACATGCTTCAAACCTGCATAAAATAGATGCACATGTCTAGCTGGATGCAAAATGCAACATGGAAGAAGAAGAGTCAAAGCTTAGGCCCAAGATAGGTCAGGCTGACCTGCATTTGCTCAGGTTCCTCTGATTATAACCCATGAGAACTTGGGCCCCGATGCCCCCTGTCTATGATGTACGTTTTCCTCACATCTAAAGTAGTGGACTAAGAATGCACTAAGTGGATTAAGAACCAGTTCACGGTTGTCGGAGTATCAACATACAGCTTCTGGCCCAGGCAGCCTTGCATTAATGTTGGAGACCTCCGTGACTTGTGGAAAACATCACACCTTGTCTTGGGCCACATCCCTAACAGCGTTACAGCCCTCCATACCTGGGAGCCAGAAGGTAGCCACCAGCATCCTCACTGCATGCTAGTTCCCATGGTTCCATTCTTGAGTGCTGCGGGGACCAGAACCTCACTTGCTCGTGCCCTCTCTTCCATCTCTGAGGGCAGCTGACTGCTGGAGTTGGTGGTGATGAGGAATCTGGTACTGCTGACGATATCTCAGGTGTCCAGCCTGGGCATGTAAGGATAGGGAGAGGGATTAGCCCAAGTGCCCACACCAAATCACACCCTTTCTTTGGTGTGAATAATCTGGTGCCAAACAAAGGCTCGGGTTTCACTAAAGGCTCTCCCACAATGGCTGTACTCATAGGGCCTTTCTCCAGTATGAACCTTCTGGTACTTCATAAGGTTAGACCTGTGGCCAAAGGATTTCCCATATTAGTTACACTCATAGGGTCTTTCACCAGTGTGAACCTTCTGGTGCTGATTTAGAGTATAACTTTGGTGGTAAGTTTTTCCATATTCCATGCACTTGTAAGGTCTTTCCCCA